TTTTTACTCTGCCACTCTCTTTATCTTATCTTCAATTTTGAATTATAGCCTTGCTGGATTGAGTAATCTTGGATTCAATCCCTTGCTTTTTGTTACTTTGGATACTTCATGCCACTTCTTTGTGGACTGTATTGTTTCTGTTGAGAAATCGGGTGACAGTATAATGGGAGCTCCCTTTTAGGTAACTTTCTGTCTCTTCTTGCCTTTAAGATTCTTTCTTAGTCTTTAATGTTTGTCATTTTAGTTATGATGTGTCTAGATGTGGGTCTTTTGGTTTCATCTTGATTGGGTCTCTCTATGTTTTCTGAACTTGAGTGATTTTTTTTTTCCTTCCCCAGGTTAGGGAAGTTTTCTGTTATTATTTCTTCAAACAGGTTCTTTATTTGTTGCTGTGATTCTTTCCCTTCTGGTACTCCTATGATGAGATATTGTTACATTTCACTTTGTCCCCAAGCTCCCTTAAACTATTCTCCTCTAATTATTTTTTTCTATTTGCTACTCTGATTGGGTGTTTTTTGTTTGTTTGTTTTTTGTTTTTTCTTTTTTTGTACCTTGTCTTCTGATTTGCTAATTTGCTCCTCAGCTTCTTCTAATGTAGTGTTGATTTCTTTCAGGGTATTTTAAAAAACATTTTCAGTTATGTCATTCTTCATTATCAGTTGGTTCTTATTTATGGTTTCTTTCTTTGTTTTTATGCTGATGAAGTTTCCACTAAGTTCATTGTATTTCTCACTATGTTGTTTGAGCACCCTTATAACCATTACTTTGAACTCTATATCTGGTAAATTGATTGCTTCCATTTTATTTAGCTCTTTTTCTGGGGATTCCTTATGTTCTTTCATTTGGGGCCTGTTTCTCTGTTTCCCAATTTTTGCTGTTTGTGTTTTGTTGTTGTTGTTGTTGTTGTTTTTTATGTATCACATAAGACTGCTATGCCTCCCACTCTTACTGAAGTAGCCTTCTTGTGGGACCCAGTGGCCTTTTTCCTTGATGTTTTGAGGTGGGTGCTCTAGGAATAACCCTTGTGTAGGTTATGTGTGCTCTTCTCTTGAATTTGAGTCATGATGGCTATTGTCCATTTGTGGGTCTGCTCAGCTCTGAGGGTTGTTGACTGTGACTGTCCACCCTGACCTAGTCGTGCCAGCTCTTATTAGGTGCTGAAAGAACAAAACAAGATACAACCAGACCAAACCAAAATCAGCACCAAAAAAAATCAACAATAATAAAAGCAACAGCCTCAACAAAACAACCAAAAGACAAAAAAATAAAATAAAAATTGCACACAAAGAATACTAGAGGACATGAGATCAGCAAATTAGAGAGGTTGGTAGGGAAGGCTATGAAAGCAGGAAGAAAGAGACCCATAAATAGGGTAAGTATAAAACATGAAAAGTATGCCCTGGCTGGTTTGGCTCAGCGGTTAGAGCGTCGGCCTGCGGTTCCGAGAGACCTGGGTTTGGTTCCCACTAAGGGCATTTACCTCGGTTGCAGTTTGTCCCCAGTCCTGGTTGGGTCGTGCGGGTGGCAGCCACTTGATGTGTCCCTTTCACATTGATGTTTCTCTCTCTCTTCTTCTCTTTCCCTTCCTTTTTTTTTTCTGAAATAAATAAATAAATAAATAAATTTTTAAAAAGTAGAGCCCTGGCTGGTTTGGGTTAGCAGTTAGACAATTGGCCTGCAGTCTGAAGGGGTACAGGTTTGATTCCTGGTCAAGGGCACTACCTGGGTTGCAGGTTCGATCCCCAGTCCTGGTTGTCTCTCTCACATGGATATTTCTCTCTCTCTCTCTCTCTCTCTCTCTCTCAGTCACTCTCCCTACCTTCCTGTCTGAAAATAAATCAATGAAAAAACATCCTCTGGTGAGGATTAACAAAAATAAATAAACAAATAAATAAATAAAATTAGAAATAATGAATGAAATAATAATTTTAATTTTATAAAGTAATAATGCTAAATAAAATAAAGTAATAGACTAGGGAAAAAATGCGAAAAGAAAAGAACAATTGAATTAAAAATAAAAATTGTAAAAAAGCTAAAGAGGATGAGAAAGAAGAAAAAAAAAATTAGGCCATAATGAAAGATAGCATTAAGAGAGTATGGGCGAAAATTGCGAAGCGAGAGAAAGTAAGTCCACACCAAACAAAAAGAAGCAAAAAAAAAAAAACCCCAAACACATGCACAAAAAACACAGCAGCAACAGAAACCTTGTTATCAGCTAGGATCATGGAGCTCCATAGATCTTGCTCTGATGTTGTTGGATCTGGACCCTTGGTGTGTGAGTCCCTGCCCAGTTTTGTGGTGCAGGCAAATGTGAAAAGCTGTCCTTGCCTGGCCCTCATCATCCTGGCTGAAGTCTTGCAGGTCAGGTCCCCAAGTAATTCAGTGGATGTGGTTTCCCTAGCCCAGTTGCCCATCAAATATACTTGTTCTGGGATGCTTTCCCATCTCCCATGGAACTGGGTTCTGGTGAATATCAGGCCGGGTCAGGATGGTTTAAACAAATTTGCATTGCATGTGGTATCTGTAGCTTGTAGGAGGGGCAGGCAGGTGCTCCTTCTCCTTCCAGTTCCTCAGCTCTGCCTGGTTCACTGGCACCCCTGGACGCCACCCCATGCAGGGGTTGATAGAATTGAAAACAAAACAAAATAGCCCTGCTTGGTTCTCTAATCTTTCAGCACTGCTGGCTCTTGCTGGGCAGGACTTCTGCCCAGGCTCCCACTAGGCCAGATGTCCCAATCATTTGCGCTGCCAAGCCCAGCTGATTTCTAGCCCAGAGCCAGTCCAAAGGTGGGGGAAGTGACACTTCCTTTTCGCTAGAGGTGGGGGAGATTGTGTCTCTTTCCCATGACACTCTGATTAGTTCCCATCAAAGTTCTTTCAACAAATACTCACCTACTCAGATTCACAGCTAGGTGATCCACTCAGACCCCTCCGCAGGTCCGGAGTTTTCCTTAGTGGTTCCTCCCACAAACCCCAATGAATCAAACTTCCCAAGCTGGTGGTGTAACCAAGCACTTGCTTAGTGCTCTCTGAGTCTCCCTTGTGGGCTGAATCACTTCTGATTTCTACTGTCCAATACTATGTGGGCTCCCCTTCCCTTCTCTGTTGCTCTCCTTTGGGGATCCCTGTGTGGGGCTGAGTCCCCTTGTTCTTGTGGGACTGGAGCTGTGTGGTCGCACCTTCCCTCCATCTTCCCAGCTGCGCTTTGCAGCTGCATGAGTTGACTCACCCACTCTGCATCTTCTATCCCCTCTCCACGCTCCTAGCTCGCAGTATTTCCACTCAGCTATTTTCAGCTGGTGTTTCAAGTTGAACGTTATGCATTTTAGCCACGAGTTCAGTCTTGTGCTACGAGCAAGCAGAAAGAACTTCTTTTGGCTGCAACCATCTTCTTCTACAGATATGATTTTTTTTTTTTATTTTATTGATTTTAGGGAGAGAGGAAGGGAGAGAGAGATAGAAACATTGATGAGAGAGAACATCATTTGGCCACCTCCTGCATGTCCCCCACTAGGGATCTGGCCCATAACCTGGGCATATGCCCTGATGGGTAATCGAACTGGCGACCTCCTGGTGCATGGGTTGATGCTCAACCACTGAGCCACAGTTCTGGGCAGATGCGAATTTTTAAAAATTGACTTTTAGAGAAGAAGGGAGAGAGAAAGAGAGAAAGAAACATCAATGTGAGAGTGAAACATCGATCGGCTACTTCCTGTATGCTCTTTACTGTGGATGGAGCCCACAACCCAAGTATGTGCCCTGACTGGGAATCGAGTTGCAACCTTTTGGTGCATGGGGCGATGTCCAATCAGCTGAGCCACACCTACCAGGGCTACTCTGTCCTTTGTGATTATTTAGAGTCACATGGGAGAAATTAGGCTTCTTTATGTTTTTCCTTAGTGCAGTTATCAGATAGCATTGCTAAACAAATTAGCCCTAAATCTTTTTTCTGTTATTTCTCACAGGAGATATTTTTTCAGTGATTTGTTTATTTTTAGATAGAGTGGAAGGGAGGGAGGGAGAGAGAAAGAGAAAGATTGATATGAAAGAGACGCATTGATAGCTGCCTACTACACGGCCCTGATGGGAACAGGGATAAAAATCTAGGTACATTCTCTTGAGCAGAAATTGAACTCGCGACCCTTCAGTCTGTGGGCTAACTGCCAAGCCAATCCTTCCAGGGCTACCCCTAAATCTTGATCTGAGTGCTATATGGTTGCATATACTTTGTAAAGAAAACAGGCCTAAACTGCATCAAGATTTTTAAAAATGTTTTTATTAATGTACTAGTTCGTTGATCATGATCTGAAGAAAAACTCCTCCCATATGCGCAAACTCTTCAACAGTGATTTATGTTATGAAAAACGCTCCCTATAATACATACATATTAAAAAGAGAAAGTTTAGGAACTAGCAAATACTCAGGCTCAAATGGGTAGAAAAGTCTCATTGGCATAGGGTGAGGTGATGGACCACAGGTGAAGGAGGAATCTGAATTACAGCAGCAACTTTCCCCAAACCTGGAACTGGTAGGGTGAGCAGTTCAACACTGGCCGCAACTGCTCCACAACCATGTAATTGGGATGCTCTATATACAGCTTTTTAACTGTAGCAGATAAAATAATATCCACACTTTAAGAAATTTTAAAAAAAGTTTTTATTGATTTTTTTTTTTTTTTTTTTTTTAGAGAGAGAAACATCAGTTGGCTGCCTCCTGCACACCCCCTGCTGGGGATTGAGCCCACAGCTTGGGCATGTGCCCTGGCTGGGAATTGAACCGGGACCTCTCAGTTCATGGGATGATCAAATCACTGAATCATACTAGCTAGGCTGTATCAAGAGTTATACAGTTGAAATTACACATTCTTTGTGTGTCTTAACTGATTTAAAAGAGAAAACTTTAGACTATTCTTTGAAGCCTGTTAAAAGTTTTTCAGTCCTCATTATCATATACCTATTATTTCTGCAAAATGAGTAAATTGTTAATTTTTTATTTCCTAGGAGGAATATAGAGCTGAAGGTATCAGCTGGCACAATATAGATTATATTGATAATACCTGTTGCATAAATCTTATTAGCAAGAAACCAACAGGACTGCTCCATCTTTTAGATGAAGAAAGCAAGTGAGTATGATTGTTTTCAATTTTGTCATGGACCATTTGGGCTTTTCCTGTCAAAGTTCTAAGCTTTCTTCTTCCATTATCAAATAAAGAGCCAAAGTTTTTCTTGTATGCATGTGTGTGTCAGAAAATTGGTTGGAATTCACTATTATAGAACTCTTTTAAATATTTTTTCCATATTTCTTCTACAGAGGTACATTGATGTTAAATTTGTTGGCATTAATTTATTTCGTTGTTGTGTGTTCCTCTCTCTCTCTCTCTTTTTTTTTTTGCATTCATCTTCAGATAGAGCAGGAGGGAGAGAGAGAGAAACATCAATGTGAAAGAGACACATTGAGTGGTTGCCACCCACATGACCCCAATCGGGCCCGGGGACAAACTGCAACCGAGGTGCCCTTAGTGGGAACCGAACCTGGGACTCTCTGGTCCGCAGGCCGACACTCAACTGTTGAGCCAAACCGGCCAGGGCTGTTCTTCTCTTCTTGAATTGAGTTTTATATGTGAGATGTGTTTGCTGTTTTCATGTTTAGCAGAAAACATATCATGATAGATTAGTGATGCAGCCACAACTGTACAGGTACCAGATATTTACCGTCTCTTGTTAATACTATTCAGTACACTAAATTTATGTATAAGCTTTAGAAATAAAGTTTCACATGGCATCCCTCCAGAGTGTTCTCAGTGCTCTATAAAGTATTTATAGTTAGATTATACTAAGAAATGGCAGATTTAGAACTGGAGAAACTGAAGTGATGGAGAGTGTGGGTTTTCTATGACATTTTCATAAAATATTTAGAAATCGAATTAGATCGTTTGATACCTACCTTAATATTATACCCATTACACTAGGATATAAAATATTTGGGATTTATTATAGGTAGGAGGTTCATACCTATGTTTGTGTGGGACGATATAAAGTTTATGTTTGTGTGGGACGATATAAAGTTTATGACTTGTTCAATTTAGTTATTAAAGGTGCTTACCATTGCCTGGCTGGTGTGGCTCAGTGGATTGTTGTCCCATGGACTGAGAGGTCCAGGTTCAATTCCCAGTCAGGGCACATGCCCGGGTTGTGGGCTCAATCCTTAGTAGGGGGCATGCAGGAGGCAGCCAATTGATGTTTCTCTCTCACATAGCTATTTCTATCTCTCCTTTCTTCTTTCTCTCTAAAAAAAAAATCAATAAAAACCTTACCAAAAAAAGGTGCCTACTTTTACCTTCAGGATATCCTGGTTTGTATGGTAAGTTATATGTCACCCTATTAACATGCCATAAACACACAGAATGGCTGTATAGAAATATAGAATAAATATGGCAGAATGATAAGTATATTGGAAAGGAGACTGCAAACAGTTATAGCTACCCACTCTATTCCTAGTTTAGTTACATCAATCTAAATGAATTAAAATGCAGTCAACACAAAAATGTTGTAATTTCATGACTACAGTTGTATAAAATTTTTTGTTTTGCCTATATGTCCTGAAACATATATTATCTCTTATGAAATTGTTCTTAACTCTGCTTGTGTACCTATACCTCTGGTGTACTGTATTTTAGAAAGCTTCATAGGTACGCAGTTTTTTTAATCTTCACCTGATGATATGTTTTTATTTTATTATTATTTTAAATTATTTAAAACATTTTTTCATAGTTTTGTTAATCCTAACCTGAGGATATTTTTTTCGTTGATTTTATTTTAAAGAGAGTAGAAAGGAGGGGGTAGGAGGGAGAGATAGAGACAGAGACAGAGACATCATTGTGAAAACGATAATATCGATTGGTTGCCTCTTGCAAGTGCCCCGCCTGGGGCCCGGGATTAAACCTGAAACTCAGATACATGCCCTTAACCAGGATTCCATCTTTGGAACCCTCTTTTCATGGGCGGATGCTCCAACCATTGAGCCACAGGGCTGTTTTTTGTTTTAATCTTCACCCTTGATTTTTTCCATTTATCTTCAGATAGAGTGGGAGGGGGAGAGAGAGAATCATCGATGTGAGAGAGAGAGACATTGACTGGTTGCTTCCCACACAACCCAACCAAGGCTGAGGACGAACTGCTACCGAGGTACATGCCCCTGGCCAGAATCAAACCCACGACTCTTTGGTGCAAGGGCCAACACTCTAACTGCTTAGCCAAACACCAAATCAATGCTGTTTTTATTGATTTTAGAGAGAAAGGAAGGTTCAGGGAGAGAGACAGAGACATAGACATTGATCAAATAGAGAACTATCAGTTGGTTGCCTCCTGTCTGCCTCCCCAGCCAGGGATTGAACCTGCAACCCAGGTATGTGCCTTTACCTGGAATTGAAGCCGTGACCCTTCACTGCACAGGATGACACTTCAACGAACCAAGTCACACTGGCTGGGGCCATTGGTAGTTTTGATACTCATTGTTAAGAACTATTCTGGTTGATATTGAAATGATAAGCAATTTGTTTTTGGTAACAAAAAGAACAAAAAAATTTAAGCAATTGGAGAAACAAATCATATGGGTAGTAAATGATTTACTTAAGATTTAAGCCCTCCAGGTATTTTTTGACTGAGAAGCTTGCATTGTCCTATATTACTTCCCAATAATACTTAGATTGTAGAGTTAGATTTTTAGGGTTGTATCCCATCTTTAACAAGTACCCTTGGTGAATCGCTTAATATCCTTGGTCCTTAGTTTTCTGGCATGCAGAAAGGAAATGATGATGACATAACAAAGTTGTCTGTTATATATCTTAAAATGATGATGAACAGCTATTGATAGAGTGAATATGTAATTGTAGAGCAAAGGGGTCTTGTGTGTCCTGTCATTCTTGAAGTAAATTTTATTGAGTGCTTGTCTTATATACAAAGACTTTGTTTCCCTGGACAGTTGTTAACACACACACACATGCGCGCGCGCACACACACACACACACACACACACAGCCAAATAAAGAGAATGTCACCTCTTTTCTGTTACCTAAAAGCTAGTGGGATTAACCCATGACCAGAAATTACAGGGAGACAGCTTTTGATTCAGTATAAAGAATAATTTTCTAATTATTAGGCTGATTAGCCACTGCTTCATAAAGTAATAAAATTGCCCATTATATTATTTTGCATCATCTGTCAGGGTATTGTTGTAGGTAGGAGATGACTGAATAATCTCTTGATAGTCATCTCTTCAATTATGTTTCTTTATTCAGTCCTTCATAAAAAATTTTTAACAAACTCCAGTTTATGAGTCAGTCCTGTTATTACCTTTGTTCTCTATGATTTAATATCCTAGAAGATGAAAAGGCATGAAATACTTTCTTTCTGCCATTTATCTTTAAGAAGGGGTTGAAAATAAATTAGTTACATGTAGGTAGAACCATTTTAGGAATCATTTAAATGGAGTATTATTCCTCTCTATATAATCTTTAGTAGGGTTCCTTTTTTATTCAATGTATTTGTAGTGCTTGCAGGTGCATGGATTTGAAGTCAGAAGTTTTGTTTAATCTTGTCTTGCTATCTACTGGCTATTTGACCTTGTGCAGGTTTTTAAAACCAGATTATAAAGAATTCATGTAGTGGAATTTAGAAAGGAAGAGTAATGTAAGCAAAGTTAGGTAGGAGTGGGATGTTAGGAGTGTTACTAGTCTTTCTTACAGTACTCAAAGTATAATATACTAACAGCAGCATTGGTAACCTCTTGAAGCTTGTTAGAAATGCAGACTCTCAGACTTTCACCCCAGACTTCTTGAATCAGAATCTGCATTTTAACAAACTGAATTTAGGATCTGAGCTTTCATTTAGGACAGCTTGTTGTCAGTTATACCTGCTCTTAAGAATTACCCGGGGCACATGTGAATAATACTGATGTGGCACCACCTAGCTTCAATTCTTTAGAACCACAGGAAGTGGGTTCCAGGCATTGGTATTTTTGAAAGTTCCAGAGATAACTTCCTATATGCATAGAAACATTGAGGCTGTCCTTACAGATAGCCTTTGGGGGAATGCTAGACGAAGAGTTTTGGAATGAACAGTAATGTGGGATGTGTTTCTGTTGCAAGTTCTTTTGCTTGATAATGTAGTATGTATCCACAAATCTTCTTTGAATGTGGGACATGCAGAGAGCTTTCCTTTCCATTTTTCCTTGTTTGGAATAAAAACTGTTCTCATGTCTGCCCTCCTTTCTTTAAATATTTTTTTTTCCTTCATTTAAAAGTAAGAGAAAAATAAATCACAAGCATTTTGATTACTCAGAGGATTAGAAAGTAAATAAACCTTTGCTGAAGAGAAGCATTCTGTTGTGTAGTAGTGAGGCATAAGTTTGCAGAGGTTGGGTTGGTCTAGGCTTAGGAGCTTGGATTTCATCATTATGCCTTGGTGATCCATACATTTTCCTTAGTAGGGGAGGCACATGATTAAAGCACTCTTATAGGAACATTTATTTTGAATCTTGATTTAGTGACTTGATTAGATTAGAATTACCCGAATTATTATTAGAATTACCAGAATTATTATTAAGGCTGTTGCTGTACTCTGTTTGAAATTGTAAGAGTGTAATCCATTCTAGAATGACTTTAGAGTTCTGAAATGGAAAGGAAGAACTAGATGATAGTTCTTCAACCTTTGGAAAGGTGATAGTATTTGAATGCAAAAGCAGGCCTAGGTGACTAGGAAAATGACAATATTGGCAACATAAAGTAGATAACATTTATTTTATCCCTGTAGGATGCCAGTTAGTGTCAGATGTTTTTACTAGTGTTATTTAATTCTACTAGCACTGTGATACCTCATTGTATTCATTTAATGGATTAGGAAATCAGTTCTTAAGGGAAGATACCTACCTAGCTTGTCTTCAGTCACAGACAACTGGTAACGTATACTATGACTGACTGACACCAAAGGCCATTTTCCTTTCTGATTCCAATACATAACTACATAATTAACCATTTTTGTTGGAATTTTAGAATAATTTTTACATCTTAGATTTTATATTCAGCATCTTTACAAACTTCATGTCACATTATTTCAGCCTCTGTTAAATGAAACTGTTCTCTGAAATATATTTGCACTCTTCTTTCTCTATCAGTGATATTTTCTGTTTTCAACTCCTACCCAATCTTTATTATCTAGCTCATACTTGTAAGCTGGTTGATATATCCATGTGAACCTTTCAACTATTGATGTTTCTTCTCTTCTGAACTTCTATATTCCTGTATTTGCTGTTATGTAATTACTTTGTAATAAATATTATTTGAATGATTCCTTGATACGAAATGCTCATCAGTGAGTACAACCCCACTGATATATTTGAAATAATAGATATAATATAAAAATATATAGTAACTGTTATGAGTAAGAAGATTACTACTTAATTTATACATGAAGAAAACAAAAATGACTGGATTTAAAGAACCAATCTAAATTGAGACATCATTTCCTTTTTTTGAAGTTCTGGGCCCCAAACAACATATGATTTAGTTTTATTATCCTACAGATTTTATAGCAGTGGAGCACAAGGCAACATAAGCTAAATACCTAAAAACCTGAATTAACTTCTTAGTTCTTCTTTCAAAGTATGAGTTTGGACAAATCACAACTTTTGATTCCTCATGTATAAAATAGGAGCACCATTTCTTATTGCACTCACTTTTTAGCTTGTTATGAAAATCAGATTAGATAATATAAGTGAAAATTTGCTAAATGTGTTAGAGGGCAATATAATTATAATGTATTTTTCTTAAAAAAGATTGTTCACTACAGCATCTTTTTTTAGTGTTTCTGCTTTTGTTTTTAATTCAGCTTTCCACAGGCTACAAATCAAACATTGCTAGACAAATTTAAGCATCAACATGAAGAGAATTCTTACATTGAATTTCCAGCTGTGATGGAGCCTGCTTTCACCATAAAACATTATGCCGGGAAAGTAAAATATGGGGTAAAGGTCAGTAAATTTCATATTGCATATGCCTTTAGGGTAGAGATGTATTCTTAATTGTACTAAACTGTCCACTTTGTAGATGTGGTGGCTCTTCATCAGTAACAATTAGAGACATTATTATAAGGATACTACTAAAATTCAGATTCCATCTTGTCAATATATTACTGTTTTAGGTGATGTTTCTGTTGATTTTTTCCTATAGATAAACCTGATGTCAGTCTATTCTAATAGACTTTTTAGATCTGAAACAATAGATACATCAGTATGTTTTATTTATTTTATTTTTATTTTTTATCCTCACCAGAGGATATTTTTCCATTTTTTGTACAGATAGAGTGGGAGGGAGAGAGAGGAAGGGAGAGAGAGAGAGAGAAACATCGACGTGAAGGGACACATCGAGTGGCTGCCACCCGCACAACCAACCAGGGCCGGGGACAAACTGCAACCGAAGTACGTGCCCTTAGTGGGAACCGAACCCGGGTCTCTCCGGACCGCAGGCCGACGCTCTAACCGCTGAGCCAAACTGGCCAGGGCCATCAGTATGTTTTAAATCTACTACTTGATCTTCTTAGTTTGTTGAATTTCACATGAGGCCTGACACATGTCTTTATGCACCATTAAGTATTTGTGAGCTTACACTCCTAATGAATTTATTCAAACTCTTTACCTCCTATGGAAGGAAATCTTTATAATTTTGTTCATTTCTTATTTGTAATTAGTGAGCTATTACCTTTCAACCACTTGATGTTTAAGCCTGCCATTTAAGGCAATTTCCCAGGCAAGACAGTGACAGTATGGAGACTAGTGGAGCAGTATGTTTTCTCCTGGGTCTTGAGGTGAGAGTTAGAATTAAGATAACTTGTTTAGGAAGTGCTTACTAAACACACAGCATGTGTCAGACCCTGTGCTTGGTGTTTGGAATGATCCAGTGATAAAATAGACGAATATATTCCTGGCACTCTTTATACATATACATACATATACACACATACATATGTGTGTTTATGTATAATACAGATAAATGGAGCTTTGTGCTATTAATAAATGAATGGGTTCTATGAGAGAAACTAGAGAAATACTGGAATATGAATTTGTAGATCCATGAAGACCTCTCTGAAAAACTCAAATATTGAGAGATGACCTGAAATAAATGTAGATGATGAATAATGAGATAGAAAATAACTTAATCTGTTCAAATAATTGGAAACAGGCCATTGTTACTTGATTATAGTGAGCACTGGATCTAGTGGCATAAAATAAATTCACAGGATGGAAAGCAACTTAATTCTTCAGGGCTTTTAGAAGAAGTTAAATGAGTTTGTTTTTTGTTGAAATTATTATGGGGAACCATGAAAAGAGTTTAAAGCTTAGGATGTGATTTGTATTTTTCAAAGATTTCTTTGATTATTGTGAGGAGAAAGAACAACAAGGATGGGAATGGAAGCTGGGAGGTCAAAATTAGCTAACTTTTTTAAACTGTTGAGGTGAAATGTTAAGGTAAGCTGAACCACAGGATTGGCAGTAGAGTTGGAGGAAATCTAGATTATGAAATATATTTCAGAGGTATAATCAGTAAACCTTATTGAGGGATTCTAGGTAAGTGACTTCTGGCCATAGCTAATGTAAATTTGAGGTGCTATTTTTTTCAGATGGAAAAGACAGGAAGGAACAGATTTTAGAACAAATGTTAAGAATAACAGAACAGAATGGTGTAACCCGGGGCTAAGGGGTGGGGGATTTGAGGAGTTGTTGGGCAAAGGACTCAGACTTGCAGTTAGAAGACAAATAAGTTCTGGAGATTTAATACACAATGTTGTTATTATAGTTAACATTGTTATTATAACATAGTGTTCAGAGTTCTTAAGAGAATAGATATTAAATGTTTTCACCACAAAAAAAGATAGTTATATGACTTGATGGAGATGTTAACACTACTACAGTGATAATCACATTGCAACATATAAATGTATCAAATCAACACTGTACACCTTATACTGTGTTATATGTCAGTTATACATCAATTAAAAATTTTTAAATGCAATTTAAAACAAAAACTAAAAAGTTTGAGCTATAAAATCATATAGTGACGTGCACAGGGTATACATCTAAAGTGTAGATTTCTTTCATGCCCTTTCCCTGCTCATTCTCCCTCACCCAGAGGTAACCACTATTCTAACTTTTTTCCTTAGTTTTACTTGTTATTAAATTTCAGATAATTGGAAGCATAGAGTATATAAAATTGTATTTGTGATTATTTACTCATATTATCACATAGATTGAAAGTAAAAGGACTGGAAAAAGATACTATGCAAATCCTAACTAAAAGAGGTGGTATATTTACATTACTATTAGACAGAGTAGACTTTAAGGCAAGAAGTATTATTAAAGTGGTACATTTTATAACAATAAAAGGGGCCAATTCAACAGGAAGACATAATCATCAAAAGTTACATTACCTAATGACTTCATTTCAATATATATAAACCAAAAGGAGAGGAAAAGTAGACCTCGACAGGTTCATCATCACAGTTGTAGATTTAAAAACATATCTCTTAGTATTTAACAAAATAAGCAGGCACAAAATCAAAAACAAAAATTAAACAGCATTCCTAAAGAGCTGACCTAATTGGCATATCATAAGGATAACTAGACTATTTTTGGGTGTTTAGAAATTGAGTAAAATTCTTTATAACCCATGAGTCAAAAAAGAAATCACAATACAATGATATTTTAAATTGAACATTAATGAAAATACAATATAACAAAATTTGTAGGATGCATTTAAAATAATGATTTATAAGTTTAAATGCATATATTAGAGAGAATGATTGAAAAGTAATTATCTTAGCTTTCATCTCAAGAAACTGGGAAAAGAACAGCAAAGGAACCAGCAATTTCACCTGGGTATTTATCCAAAGAAACTGAAAACAAGAATTCAAAAAGACACACGAATCTCTGTTTATTGTAGTATTATGTACTATAGCCAAGATATGGAAGCAACCTAAGGGTCCATTGACAGATAGACAAATAAGTAGTAGTATAGATATAAAATGGGATATATGACTCAGCTATAAAAAAGAATGAACTTTTGCCATCTGTAACAACACGGATATACCTAGAGGTCTATGGATTTGTCAGAGAAAGACAAATGCCATGTGACTTCACTTATATGTGGAATCTAAAGAACAAAATAAGCAAACAAACCAAATAAACTCATAGATACAGAGAACATTTTGATTGTTACCAGATGGAAGAGGCGTTGTGAGGAATGGGTGAAAAATGGGAAGGGATTAAGATATGCAAATTGCTAGTTATAAAAACAGTCACAGGTTATAAAGTACAGTAATAACTATGTATGGTGTCAGATGGGTGCTAGACTTATTTTTTTTCTTCATTTTATTTTTGCTTTGATTTTTCTTTTTTTATCTTTATTGTTGACTGTATTACAGATGTTCCTCATTTTTCCCCCATTGACCCCCTTTTCCCCACTCCTGCCCCCCTCCTGACTTTTCCCACACTGTTGTCTGTGTCCATTGGTTATGCATATAAGTTCTTTGGTTCATTTCCTCCCACCCCCCAAACCGCTTCTCTTTGAGGTTTGTCAGTCTAGCAACCAATTTGTTCTTCTTAATCCCTTCACCTTTTTCACCCATTCCCCTAATCTCTCTCCCATCTGGCAACCAACAAAATGTTCTCTGTATCTATGAGAATGTTTCTGTTCCACCTGTTCATTTTGTTTGTAGATTCCATTGTCGATAGATATGTATTCATTGCCATTTTGTTTGTTCATATATTTTATCTTTTTCTTCCAAAAGACCCTTCATCATTTCATATAATAACGGTTTGGTGGTGATGAACTCCTTTAACTTTTTCTTGTCTGGGAAAGTCTTTACATGGCCATCGATTCTAAATATCAGCTTTGCAGGATAGAGTAATCTTGGTTGTAGGTTCTTACTTTCATCACTTTGAATATTTCTTGCCACTCCCTCTGGCCTGCAAAGTTTCTTTTGAGAAATCAGCTGACAGTCTAATGGGAACTCCCTTGTAGGTAATTATCTGCTTTTCTCTTGCTGCTTTTAAGATTCTCTCTTTGTCTTGAACCTTTTGCATTTTGATGATGATGTGTCTTGGTGTGGGCCTCTTGGGGTTCTTGTTTGGGACTCTCTGTGCTTCCTGAACTTGTATGTCTGTTTCCTTCACCAAGTTAGGGGATTTTTCTGCCATTATTGTTTCAAATAGGTTTTCGATTTCTTGTTCTCGCTCTTCTCCTTCTGGCACCCCCAAGATGCGAATGTTGGCACACTTGAGGCTCCTTACACTGTTCTCATTTTTTTGGATTATTTTTTCTGTTTGCTGTTCTGATTGGGTGTTTTTGCTTCCTTATATTCCAAATTGATGGTTTGCTTCTTGGCTTTACCTTCTCTACTATTGAATCTGTGTAAATTATTCTTTATTCTTTATTCAGTTAGTCCTTCTTTTATTTCTGACTGTGCCTCCTTCATTTCTGACTCGTTCTTTTTTATGCTCTTGAGGCCCTCACTAATTTTGCTGAGGTTCTCACTAAGTTCATTGAACATCCTTATAAGCAGTATTTTGAACTCAGCATCAGTTAGGTTGCTTATCTCCATTTCTCTTAGTTCTTTTCCTGGAGATTTTTTCTGTTCTTTCATTTGGAACCTGTTTCTTTGTCTCCTCATTTTGGCTGCCTCCCTGTGTTTGTTTCTGTGTATTACTTAATGAGAGGTATGGGGCTAGCTGAGACCAGATGCTGCTTGTTTGAAAGAATTTAGGAAAACTTGAAGCAGGATCCAAGACAGGCCAATCCTATGGTTAAGTAACTGGCAACAGCTTGGGTGGACCTGAAAGTTGGGTGGGATGGGGCCTCAGGGAATCAATCATCATGGCGGGGCTACCAGTGTGAGCCAGGTTGCTGGAGTCCCAGATATGGGGGCTGTCTGCTGCCCTAGGGAAGGGCTCACCAAAGGAACAAAGGCCTCTGACAGCATGTTTGTCCTGGAGAAAGCCCCCTCTCCAGCTCTCACTCCAATGCCATATGGCTCAGTTCTTCCCTGTATGTCTCTGACGCCCCTCGAGCTGCCTCCCCTCCAAGCTTAGAGGGAGTGAGTTTGATAAGTCCGTGCGCGGGCCCTTTAAGAGGAGATGCCTGAGGCTCCAGCCGCCTCAGCCTCCCTGAGTCTCAGTTCCCGCTGGTTTTTCCAGCCAGAAGTTATGGGGACTTCTCTTCCTGGCACTGGAACCCTGAGCGGGGTGCCTGGTGTGGGATGAAGACCCCTCAGTCCTCAGGGAGGACCTTCCCAGCCGAGGTGTCCTCCTGATTTTTATCCGCCACAGGTGGGTGTGGGACCAGCCCATCTGCCTCCGCCCCTCCTACCAGTCTGGATGTTGCTGCTTCTTTAATTCCGTAGTTGTAGGACTTCCAGTCAGCTTGATTTCAAGCTGTTTTGAATGATGGTTGTTCTGTAGTTTAGTTGTAACTTTGATGTGGTTGTGGGAGGATGGTTTACCTACGCTGCCATCTTGACTGGAAGTCCAGGTGCTAGACTTATTAAGGTGATCCCTTTGTAAATTATATTAATATTTAATTACTATGTTGTACGCCAGAAACTAATATAATATTGTATGTTAACTGTAATTGAAAAATAAAAAATTATTTTAGGAAACCTCAGGAAATCAAATCTTCCCAAATTAGAAGAAGGAGATTAAAAAGGGAAGAACAGAGATCAGTGCAATAGAGTGCAGACATGCAGTAGAGAAATTGACAAAGACAAAAATTAGTTCCTTGAAAAGATAACAGAAAATAATATAAATAAAAGGAATAGAAAATAATAATTGAAAAAAGAGATTCACAAATACTGGTATCAGACATGAAAAAGGAGATAACTGCATACTTTAGAGATATTAAAAGGATATGAACATATTTCGCCAACAAAATTGACAATGTAGATAAAATAGAAAATTGCATGAAAAATGCACGTTACTAAAACTGACACCAGAAAATATAGGAAAACCTGAAAATCCCATGTCTGTTACATAATTTGAACCAGTAGTTTAAAACTTTCCCACAAAGGAAATTCCAGGCTCACCTTGTTTTATTGGAGAATGCATTCTTTCAATTTTGAAATACCTTTAGGGTACATAAATGAATCTCAGACTTAACCAAAAAGATCTGAGCTGGAAATACAGATTTGGGCATTATTGTAAAATTGTGCTTAAAGCCATCATTGTGTTTCAGATCCCCTGATGTAAGATGATTGAATGGAAAGGGTACATAAGATCAGACTCTTAAAAATTTCTAATATGAAACCAGCAGTGGAGACTGAGAGGGCCGCACAAGAAATAAGTAGTAAATCACAAAATGTGTTGTTATAGAAACTAAGAGAAAAGAGTTTGAAGAAGAATGATATGAGTAGTTTATGAAATGTACTTAGAAATCTAGACCTAGGTAGACAGAGAGATAAAACCATTCCATTTGGAAAATGAAGGTCACTATCAATGTTTGACAGCCATCATGGAAAAAGAATTCTGGAATTTTAGGTTGTATAGTGTAGTTATAAGATGGGATAGTCTTGGGTAGGGCAGATTGATGTTTCAGTACTTGCACTGGTACATACTATGTTTGACCTTTGGTAAGCTTCTGTATCTCTCTACTTACTTATCAGTGAAGTGTGGCTTGTAATTGATTCTACTGTGTTGAGTAATTGATAGAATTGAATAGGTTATATCTAGTGGTTAACTTAGTGCCTGATATCTTTTCTGCCCTTGGTAGGTATTAGCTAATGATAGTGATGGCAGTGGCAATGATTTGGACTTGAAAGTTCTGTTAGTTTTACTAATTTTTGTCATATATACAGGGTAGGACAAGAGTAGGTTACAGTTGTTCGTATAGAAAATAATACATAATCATACAAGAAGAAACACTGTTTCACATACAACTGTAAACCTACTTTTGCTCCACCCTTTACTTTTACTCGAAGGATATTTAGGGACAAACCAAGGACCAAGACTTCTGCCTTGTTTGCCTCTTTTCCCTGTTCTCAGGTGAACAAAGAAGAATTAGGAAAGGAAAGCCATAAAGGTAATAGGATGAGTCCAACTGCCTTTTGGACATGAGGGTAGATGACATCATACTACGCATGTTCTTCATAGAATTCTGAGTTACAGCTATTTTGTAAAGATGCATGAACTTGGAGTGATTCACTCACCAAGTTTCGATCCTTCCTTCTGGGTGTGTTTATAGCCAAATGTCTAGACTATGCATATCGGTTTGGGACCTTCTTCTAGTAAGTTTCTTGCCCTCACTATCTTTCTGTGGGATATTTTAACCCAGTGTGTGTGTGTGTATGTTGTGTGTGTTTTATCCCCTCCAACCTCCATCCATGCTTTGGCAGGAGTTATCACTGCTTATTTATAGTCCTTAAGTAATCTTAATTAGTTTTTTAAAAATCTGTATGCTGATACTATCCAAATGTATTTTCTGAATCTCTTTAGGACTCAAGACACATTTAACCATCTACCTACTTGATGTCTTTATGCAGATATAGTATAGTGGTTATAAGTGGTTGTGTTTGAACCTCTGTTCTTTGACTTACTGTGTGATAGGGGCTGAGATAGCCTCTGTGTGATTCAGTATCCCCATCTATAAAATAGGAATAATATCTACCTCAGGATGTTGTTAGGAGAATGAAATGAGCTTAAATAAGACAACACATGTAAAATGCTTAGAAGAGTGCCAACACACTTAGTAACCTATTAATAAGTGTTACTGCTACTATAATATCCTTATCATTTTAAACCTAACTTGGACAGAGCTGGTCTCTTAATCCTTATTTCCTATCTCCACACCTTTTTTCTCCAGTCTTATCCATAACGGCTTATGGCACCTCCATTCACCTAGTTACTCAAACCCCAAATATAGGTGTTAACCTAATTCCCTTATTCTCTCACCATGTCCTAATCCACCAACAAGTCCTTTGTCCTTACCTCCATAACATATTACAAATATCACTATTTTCCCTTTTTATTCTTATTGCCAGTGTAGTCCCAGTCACTGTCAGCTGGGACAGCCACCTGGAATATTGCAATAGCTGGTCTCCCTTTTTCCGTTCTTTGTACAATTCATTTTCTCCACAGCAACCAGTGGTGTTTAGAAAACACCAGTTAGCTCGTGTCATCACCCTTCCAGTGACTTTTCTTTACACCTGTATAAAATCCAGACTCTTAACTCCTAACATAGCCTACTTATTTGTGTTATCTTCCACTACACTCACTCTTGCCTAAAATACCCAGCCCTTGTTCTTAATGCTTTTCTCCTAACTTGTTCAGATCATCACCACCAATAGGTAGTAGGTGTTCTCTTTGCTTGGAATGTTGTTCCTGACCTTCTTACGTCTGGCTCCCTTTTTTTTTCAGCTTTCTTGTCATTTTATATGCTACTGCTCCAGAGAGGCTCTCCCTGATCAGTGTTTAATAAATTGCAATAAAATTGTGGCATATACTTTGTAATTCAAATGTAGTTTAGAATCTAGTAGTTTCAGGATTGGGTGGGACTTTATAGAAGATATCTGGTCCAATTAGCTACCTAGAACAGAAATCACTTCTGTAGTCCTTATTGTACCACTGTTCAAACATGTCACCTTTTATCTTCTTGGTTTAATAATTAAAAAAAAATAACACTAATACTTTTTTCATGTAGGATTTCCGGGAAAAAAATACAGATCATATGCGTCCTGACATTGTAGCTCTTCTGAGAAGTAGCAAAAATGCATTTATCTCTGAGATGATTGGAATTGATCCTGTAGCTGTTTTCCGATGGGCAGTTCTCCGAGGTTTTTTCAGAGCCATGGTTGCCTTCAGGGAAGCTGGGAAAAGACACATACAGAGAAAAACTGGTAAGCAGTAGTATTAGTACTCTACTATGCTTCATCTGAAAATCGTTTACTTCTCTAAGGAGTAGAAACAATAATTTTATTCTATTCTATTTTCTTACCATATCCTTACATCATGTTTCAGATATAATTTGTTCTAGTGAACTTTATATGATTGAATTAAATAGATATAAGATGTATGTGTATGTATATGGGTTGGTGCTTTTTATTAATAAATACTGATATAACCTGGCTGGTGTTCTCAGTGGTTAGAGCATTGAACCGCACACCAAAGGGTCATGGGTTCAATTCCCTGTCAAGAGCATGTACCTGGGTTGCAGATTTGATTCTGGCCCTGGCTAGGGCATGTGCAAAAGGCAACTGATTTTTTTTTTTGATTGATTTTTAGACAGTGGAAGGGAAGGAGGGAAGGGAAGAGATACAGAGGGAGGGAGGGAAGGAGAGAATGAGAAACATTGATGTGAAAGAGACACATCAATTGGTTGCCTCCTGCAGGCATCCCAACCAGGGCCAGGGATCGAACCTGCAACTCAGGTATGTGTCCTTGACCGGGAATCAAACCCCTGACCCTTAGGTTTGAGGGCCAATGCTCTTACCACTAAGCAACTCTGGCCAGGGCTTCTTTGGCATTTAAATATTATTTGTGGAAGCTAGTTGTATTTGTATAATAATCAGTTTATACAAAGACATTTCAGTGTTACTAATGATTACAAATTGAATTTGTATTATCTCTGCTTTGATAGTTTCTGGATTCTTCTTATTTTCTAATGTAGTTTTTCTTCCTGGCCCATTTAGAGGTTTTATATAATAAACTCTTTGAAAACTCTTTTATTCTGGGATATATCATGCATCTAGGAAAGTTCACAAAACAAATATGTATAGGTCAGTGAATTATCAGAAAGTTATAACACCCCTGTAGCACTCATTAACTACCTAGGTTAAGAAAAAGAATATTACCAACACCCTAGACTAACCCCTTGGATACCAAGTTTTAAACTGTACTTTTTATGAAGAAAAGGAAAAACTATAGTTTATTTGCAGTTTGAGCAGATGACTGAGCAGATATGTTACTGAGAATATTGTATTACAGTGTATTAGTGCTAGTGCCAGCATTTAGCATTTTTGCTCCCTCCACAGAACTTAGGCCACCTACTATTTCTGGTGGATTTGGGATAAAAGGATACCATAAAGTTAGAAATTGTAGCATTGCAAAATAAAAACTAATGAAATAACTGAAAATGGATTAGGTAGTAGATTCAGAACATGTACAATGACTGTAAACACTATGCAGACATTTCAAAGTGAAACAGGAATTGGAGATTATTTAAGCAGAAGCAGAATATATAGAAGGCAGAAGGTAACTAAGTTCAGATCTTATGAGAATAAGAGGTCCAAGATCATACTTCTTATGAAGAAAAGATGTAGACTGCAGAAATACAATATCACGTTTTTTGAGGCCTTCTTTATAAAAAATTTCAATGGACTCTTAGCTAATTGTCAATAAATGTCCTTACAGTTATCCAAAAATTCTGGATTTTATTAAGATATTTCTTGACATATTTTTTGTTCTTGAAGCCAACTGAGCACAAATGAGAATATAAAATTAAAACCTACTCTGAACTGTTGTTTTTATTGATTGATTTAGAGAGAGCAGAAGGCGGGGTGGAGAGAGAGAGAGAGAGAGAGAGAGAGAGAGAACCATCAATTTGTTGTCCTACTTATTTATACATTCATTGGAGTATTGTATTTTCTCTGACCAGGGATTGACCCTGCAACCTTGGCATATTGGGACGATGCTCTAACCAACTGAGTTACCCAGCCAGTGCTTAAGTGTTATTTTTTAATATAGACTTTCAAATCAAAGGACACAGTGCCATTTTAAGGCCCTTAAATAAAAATTAATTGTTTTAAAGAATAAATTTGTTACAGTTATGGAATATGTATTACGGTGATTAGGAAACCACAAAATGTTCTTAGTGGTGTCATATAAGTAGGCAGTCTTAGTGATGCCACATATCGGCTTTGCTGGGAGATAGAATGAGAAATGGTAGTGATTTGTCTTGTCAGCAGTGAGGTATTGGACAACAGATATTCCAGTGGTATCATCCACCTTGTCTCTGATTTACTCCTCCTGAATAAGAAGGAGCCTGGAATAAAGCATACAGGGGAAATCATAACTTGACCCTGAATTACACAGTATGTAGAAGTGAGTACAATAATTCTTTATTTGGTTCTTTAGGAGTTACCATAAACATATAGCCAAAGAGGAATTTTAATCACTCTAAAAAGACTAGAAAAGGATGAGGAATTCAACTCTGGCGTTGAGATAAAAGGCAAGAAGAGCAAGGGAGGGCCAGGTGTCATTCGGTTTCTTCATCTAAAGGGAGAGAAGCTGAAGTCATTCATACTGTGTCTGTAGATAGAGAGCTTTAACGATTTCCACTTAACCTCTTCTTCTTCCCCACCCCACTCAATGGACTGAGTGACTCAAATTTGCTCCCATTTGTTTATGCATGTGGGAGGAGGGTTCCAGTCACCATCTATTTCCAGAAATGACCAGGTACAAAAACTGATTTGAATATTACCAGTGATCTAGGATCTCTGTGCAGGACTCTCTGTTCACAATTCTACTCAATACAGAACACAATTAAATGCATATTAATAAACATACTACTGACCATTATTTATTCATTTATTTTATTTTTTAAAATGTCCTTTATTGATTTTAGAGAGGGACGAAGGGAGAAGGGGAGAGAGATGGAAACATCGATGAGAGAGAACCATTGGCTGCCTTCTGCATACCCCCCACTGGGAATTGGGCCCACAACCTGGGCATGTGTCCTGACTGGGGATCAAACCAGTGACCTCTTGGTACATGGGTCAACACTCAACCAGTGAGCCACACCGGCCGGGCCTGACCATTATTTATAAATCACTTCTGTATCAGGTACTGAAGTGTGTTAGTTGAAGAGTAAAGGTTTTATTTTGAACGTCAGTGGATGATGGAGTAAGGACCTTTGAAAATTCTTCCACAAAAACAACAAGAACACTTGCAAAAAGTGTCAGAATTCAGGAAATTAATCAAAGGCTTGCAGTAATTTTGGAAGTGTTTGTATAAGGAAAAAAGCTGAATATTGGTAAAGATGGTGCACTTTGTAGTGTTTTAATTTGCACTGTTCCCTCCCCAGCTCCCCTTATGCCTTGAAAAGCTGCAGCCTGAAGCACAATGACAAGCAGCAGTGTGGCAACCACGAGGGAGGGTAGCAGGGTGTTGGAGCTCCTTCAGAACTCCATTTGTAGAGAATTTTCCTTATTCAATCTATTCTATTGGGTCTTCCCTGGAAGATCTCACTTTGCAAGACTGTCTTTAACCAGATTCAATGCTTGTCCAATGTGAATATAGCCTTCTACCTGCGAGTGTTGTCCAAAAACAATCAGAAGCAATTGTTGAACATTGCATTTGCCTGATGCAATAGATAATAGTTGGGGCAAAAACTAACCAAAATTCTTAAAAGGAAAAGCTGGGAAATGACGACTCCATAACGACTTTGTAAAGTTCCCACATATTTATGGAAATTTTAGATAGCCATGCACATGTATAGGGTTGTGTACATGCCCATGGCTGTGTGCATGTGCAGGAAAGACCTGAGAAGATCCTGATTTCTCACTTCTGGATAACCTTCAGACACTGTGCAAGCAGGAAGTGATGGAGAAGGCAGAGTTGTAAATGGCCTAGCTGAGTGTTGAAGGTGTGCCCCAACACATCATACACATCAGACCCTTAACAAAGACTGGAGATTTGTTGCTTTCAGACATGTAAAGATATCTGTCTGCAATCCTTAGTTGACCACTATGCTAACTGAGCAGAGATTTCCATGGTCACATGTGACAAGAAATGCAAACTGTACATAATTAATTCAGGTAAGTCCTTAATAAATAGCAACAACTGCAAGAAGTAGCAACTACAGCATTTCCTGGGAAGAAGGGAAAATCTAATTTCCAGAGTTTCCACATTATATTATTAAAAATGTATGGTGTTCTACACAAAATAAGACATACAAAGAAACAAAAAAATATGACCCATACAAGGGAAAAAGGAATCAATAGAAATTGTCCTTGAGGAAAGCCAAGTAATTAACTTACTAGACAAAGCCATTGAGCTATTTTAACTATGTTCAAAGACCTAAGGCTACCCTGTCTGAAGAACTAAAGTTTGAAAACAATGTCTACCAAATAGAGATGATCAAATATATATTTATATATATTGAAATAGGAGAAAATATACAATAACTGACATAAACTAGAAGAGTTCAGCAGAAGGTTCGAATAGACAGAATTCAGAATTGGTAAACTTGAAGACAGATCAGTTGAGATTATCAGATTTAAGGAACAGAAACAAAAAAGGATGCAGAAAAATAAACTGAGGTTCTACACCTGTGGGACACCAAGAAAGCATACCAACCTCTGAGAGTCCAGAAAGAAAGGCAAGAAGGGGGCAAAAATAATATTTATTTTAAAAAATGACCCAAATTCCTCAAATCTAATTTGAAAATTAATCTACATATTCTAGCACCTCAAGAAACTTTACACACCAAGAAGCTCAACAAACTACAAGGAGGGTGAATTCAAAGAGATCCAAACTTGGATACATACATCATAATTAAACTGCTCAGAGATAGAGAATATTAAAAGCTTTGCACAAGGAAAGCCAAGTAACAGTGAATTTACTAATAAATTTTATCAAATACTAGAAGAATTTACACTAATCTTTTATAAACTTCCAAAAAATGGAATAAGAGGGAATAATTTTAGTCTCATTAAGTTGGGCCAGTATTGCCTGGATACCAAACAATACATCACAGAAATGAACATCACAAACCAATATTCCTCACAAAAAATTCCTCAACAAAATTCTGGAAAACGGAATCCAGCAATATATGAAAACAGTATTATACATTATACACCATGATCTAATGGAGTTTACCTAGGAATGCAAGGTTGGT